AAATATATTACCGTGAGAATAAAATAAACTAAGTTACAAACTATAAAAATACTTCTTAAAAAGATAGGTTTTAAGTCGAGATTTAAAACTGTTAAGTGATGTTGCTTGACGAAGCTCCACAGGTAGCTCATTCCAGAGTTTCAGAGCTGCTGCTGAGAATGATCTTGCTCCCAATGTTGTAAGCATCTTTCCCTTGGGATGGTCCAATAAGAGCTTACCAGTAGACCTAAGATTATATAATGAATTTGATTTTATACTAATAAGATCGCTAAGATAAGTTGGCGCTAGGCCATAAATACATTTGAAAGTCAAAAGGAAAATCTTATAGTCAATACGCAAAGAAACTGGCAGCCAGTGCAGCTAATAAAGCGCCGGTGTAATGTGAGAAAACTTTCCAATGCCAAGAATAAGTCTTGCTGCTGCATTTTGTACACGCGGTAATTTAGCGATCTGCACATTTGGTAAGCCAAACAATAAACCATTACAATAGTCAAGACGGCTGGTTATAAAAGCATGAACCAAAGTAATTAAAGAATCTCTCGACAGGTATTTCTTAATACGTCTCAAGTTATGTAAATGATAAAATGCCGCATTACAAGCCTTGTTTATATGATCAGTCATGCTTAAGTTGCTGTCAAACCAAATCCAAGATTTCTAACACATGGGCTTGGACTGATACGATTATTGCCCACAGTTATGGAACACGAATCTAATTTATCAAGCTGTTGTGGTGTGCCGACTAACAAAAACTCCGTTTTATCATCATTGATCATCAACCGATCTTGAATCATCCATTTCCACCCTAAAACAGTATTAAATTAATCCAAACATTTTGTGGTGAACACCCCCATCATATTTACCTTTATATGGGAGAAAAAGAAAAGAAGATTATTTTACTGTCAATTTCTGCAAGCATATGTAATAAAATGGAGTATTGATTTAAGAGTACGCCATGAATAATATTTCTTGTACTAGCTTCAAGGAAGCTAATGATTTAATAGATTAACTATGGGAGCTCGAAATAAATGATTCAATAATCAAGTTTCTTTTTTTTCAGAACCAGACTTATTCAAAGGCTATACAGTGAATATTAGAGCTGCACTATGGAGTAAAAACCCTACGTATATTATCAGTGGAGGAGAAGATAAAGCAATGAGGTAATAAGCATATTGTATGCAAAAAAATATTGAATCAAGGCATCTTGCAAAATTTAATTAGGCTCTGCTGTGCAAGGATTCTTGAAATCTGTAAAATACACTATTCATCACCCTGTTCATGTCTACAATATACTGGTGTCTGCAACTTTTGTTGTTTTTTTTTTCACAGCTTTATTGGGTGCTCCGCTAGTGATATACAATATAAATTTGTAATACAACACACACACACACACACACACACACACACACACACACACACACACACACAAAACAAAAAACAACTCCCTGGCTTTGAGAATGGTTTTGAAAGACACTTCTACAACTTCAAGTCCACATTACAGATTTTCATCTTCTTTGAATTGATTGAGGGTCACACTTTCAGTGTTCCAGTTAATTCTTTCAAGCAGGGGGTCATGTAGACCATTTGAGGGGTCACTCAGACCATGTGCTAATTTTTTTCATTGTATTTAACTTAACATTTATTTTTCGGGTTGCTTGATGATTACTTCCCAAGATGTTTGAAACTCTGAGTGGCAATAAATGTTCAAGGTCTAATCCAGTTCCGTCAGTTTACTTGTATTCTGCTCTGGTTCAACTGTTGAGCACTCTTATAGTCAATGAGGACATCATTCTGGTACTTTGTTATAACTAAACATTTGTATTTCATCTGTTGGGTCAGGAAGCCTTCTTTATCAGGTCATTGACCCGAGACCTGTCTCTTATCACTGCACTTTCTGTTCCATGGTCGCTCTTCAACTAATGCTTTTTGTTAAACTTGTGTATAGGCTTTGGGATACAAGAAGTATGAAAGAGGTTAAGACCATTGATTTGCCACAGAGTGTTACAAGCATGGTTTTATCAAAGGATGGCAATGTACTCATTGCCACATATGGGAAAACAATATCATTTTGGGATCCAGAAAGGTGAGGTAAAAGCAGGTGAAACAAAGGACCTCAAGCCTCTTCTAAGACAACAATACAATTCCCACTTTTATAATATGTACACCTTAATATTCTTGGACAAGCAGCTGTCACATTTTGCTTGCCTGGCCAAGGCCACTTCTTGCTCGCCGTAGTTAATTATTTTGTCACAGGAGGACTTGTCTGGGTTCAGTGCCGGTTCCTTAATTTCACACTATTTACAGAGAATAACATAGAAAGAAAAATATGTTATGTACAATAGATGATTACAAAAATAAAATAATCACAGTAGGGGTTATAAAAATTTGTATGTGTGTGGAGATTAAAGTAGCAAAAGCTTTCCAGTTGACCACCGCCTACTTTCAAATGAAACGAAGAAATGACACTGAGCTCTAGTAGAGAATGTTTGTAGAGCCCAGGACTAAATCTAGCTGCTCAGATGTCATTCTGGCTCTTGAAGTCATTACCGCCTCACAGAGCCACTCACTTCATGGGCAAGAAAGTTTTAAAAGTTACTTGCCCAGCAAGAAAATCTACTAGTCCTGGACTAACGGATGGGACTTCTTTCAAGCTCTGTTAGTGAATACATCATTCTGCATCCTCTACAGCAATTTTATTATTTTTTTCTTCGTCTGACTGGTGTCCGTGCTCCAATTCAATGGTACTCTATTACTTATTTCTTTAATATTTATTTATTCAATTATTTTTATGTCTACTTTTCATGTTTAGAATGGAACAGATCAAGTCTTTCGAGGCTCCTACAGCAATATTTTCAGCCTCACTCCACCCCAGTAAGTCTTGTTTTGTAGCAGGAGGAGATGACTTCAAGCTTTATAAGTTTGATTATGAAGATGGAAAGGAACTAGGTAAGGCAATCAAGAGACAAAATAACAATATACATTTCTTTGTTCTGAAATAGTTTGCTAGCCATTTTGATCATATTTTTTTAACGATTCACTTATTAACCAATACTGTATTTTATTATATAGACACGAGTGTTTTACTGGAAAATATACCACTCGTAAAATTAATAAAAACTACATCTGGGACCCGAGTGGTTTATTTTCCATAATCTCACACGTGAGTTTATCGATGACGTAATTTCAGTCATTTCCATCTATTATTTTATCGATGTCTTTTTGTCTCGTGGCAAAAACAATAATTTACTCACTCGCTGCGCTCGTTTGTAAAATATTGTTTTTGCCACTCGAAAATAAAATTCATATCTTTGTGCCACTGTGTAATATCCTCTGTGCACTTCTGGTGACCATTAAATAATATTTAAGGTTGACATAAGGTGACTTTGGTAAAAGTTGAGCTTTGAGCACTGCTGGGGAATATTTCTGAGCCACCGAGGGATAGACTGTGTTGCAGGCATAATGTAACCCCAGCTAGTAACGTCTGAGAAACAGCACCATTCTCAACCCCCCACAAACTACACTGTGTTTTGTGCATTACGAATTTCCCATTTAAAAGAATGTCTTTGTTAACAGGATCAATCATAGCACATACTCAAATCCTGTTACACAACTGGGGGCCGAGAACAAGGATTTTGGCTTAACCATGCCCCAGGTGTTCCAAAGAAGGATAGCTCTTTCCACTTGATAAATCTTAAATACTTATCCCCTGTATAGTGTTTTATCTGGTGGATAGTGCTATCCAACCTTTAAACAACTGGGGCCTGAGCTTTAGTATTATCTGTGGTACAGGCTACACTGAGGGTGACGTCTCAATTTAGGTTTGACTCTCTGAACAAAGCCACTCATTTGACAACTCTTTATAATATATTATCATTCAAAGCAAATTTTTCTTTCTTTTCATTGGCCGAGAGCCCACCACGTGACCTACAAATAACTGCCTACAAATAATGGTCTGCTCATGCGCAATGCCGTCCAACTGTGTTTGGCTGCAAATAATATTCTGCACATGTGTAAAGGAAATGGCAGATCGCTTCACTTCCCGAGGATATTCATTAAAAAAACAAACTTGGTGATCGAATGATAAAACAATTATTGCACTTGTTTTTTTCAGAATCGTACAAAGGACACTTTGGTCCTGTACATTGTGTAAGATATTCGCCAGATGGAGAACTTTATGCTTCTGGCTCTGAAGATGGCACATTGCGCCTGTGGCAAAACACTGTTGGCAAGACTTATGGACTCTGGAGAGCAGTTAACAATGGTGTAGCAGCAGATGGAACAAATTCATGATAGATAACTTATTTAACAAATTAACATTATTTACGTCTAATCATAAGAGGATTATTTCAAGTACTCTTGGGCAAGTTCAATTCAGTTTGTAAACACATACAAACTTGTGCATTCTCTGCTTCTGTCCACACATGAACACATAAAAATGGATAATTTGTAAATTCTGGGTGGAGACATTCAGAAAAGGAAACATTGCCATGTAAATAGGTTTAAATGTATATCAGTTTGTATGTGTTTGCATGAACATGGTCCCAAGGTGTTTTCCCATTACATCAGGTTTCAACTGTTGGATGAGTTCTAGTTTTAAGTAGTGGTCCAGATAAGAAGGAAAGAGCCAAACACAATGAACACGTCGGAATGCGAAAAAGGAGATAACTTAATTATTGTCTCTACTACACTTCTGATTGGTTAAAACATCAAAAGTTCTACGAAATCTTCGCAAAGTAGCATGTTTCTGAATCCCTTGTTTTCTAACCAACCTCCCCATAACAAAATTTCTTGTGAGTCTAAGTAACACAGAAATCCTACTTTTCTTGGCTATTGTTTTCAACACTTATGAGTGGTTGAAATCTCTCAACACACACAAAAACGCCCTTTAAATATAGAGTTATTTTGTAGACTACCTTTTTGTAAGTTTACGCATTCTCTATGTAAAAATGAAAACATTGCTATGTGAGGAAAGCATATTGTGCCATAACAAAAGAAATTGCTTCTTTTTTTACCAGGATCATTACTTAACTGGTTAGTCTTGTCCCCTTAATGCAGGGTACACCCTATAATGGCCTGCCTATAAAGGTTTTTTTTTTTCAGACTTTAGGTATACATTGTATAAAAGGGTAACGATTTCACTACATGACTTTGCCATTGCAGTCTGTAGAAGGACCACAAAAAGCTATCAGATGGCTGTGAAAAAGTAAGAAAAAAACTTGCTATTTGATTGACTTATTTAAAAGATAGTGCTTTTACAGCAGTTAAACTACACCAGATATGTGAAAGCAGTATATTTCCTTTCAAAAATTGAAAAAAATTAAAAAGGGCAAAGTGTTGGACCTGAGAGAAGAGCCTCCCCATATAAAACTATGTTGAATGCCCCACTCCCCTCAGCCTCAACCTTCACCCCTCTGACCGCTTCATTTTCAGAAATTCCCCTTTGTAGTCTTACTTCTCCAGAAAGTAACCAACATTTTGGTCTGTCCATATTATTAAAATGGAACCCTTTGGTGTAGGTAGAAGGTTATTTGTCTATGTTCTGATCGGATACTGCAGTTCTGTAATTCCCTAGTTTGTATACTACAGAACAGGTCCTCAATGGTTGTGCTAAGAAAAAAGAGCATTTTCACTCACTTGGCCAACCGCCATGCAAATTTATTACGACAAAAGAAAGCGTTGTCATAAGAAAAGAGTTCAAATCCCGCAGAACTGTTTTGGGACACCAGCATGGCAGACGTGGCGTCATGTGAAAAGCTCATTGTTAAGGTTATGTAAAATAAACAACTGGGGACAAGAGCATTGTACCATCTTTCTGAATATTATGATATTTATTTCTTAGAATGATTCTTTTCAGCCATACAAGAGATAGATAAGGTATTTTCTTGGTGTCGTGGATGTGTGCGATCAACAAATGATGTTGTAAGATTGAAGAGACACTGAACTAAATCCGCCGCCATACCACTCAGTTTCCACAACACCAAGAAATACCCAGTAGATATGTTTCTTTCTATACTTTATTGCAAACTTAAGTTAGAGTTAGGTGTCAGAAATCAAGCATTTATAAGACCTTGGTAAACAAATGTTGTCATGTAGGAGAGTTTAAGTTTCGCAAGAGACAAGACTTGACATTCATCTACCTTTAGAGACACTGAGATGGCACTTTACAACCTTTGGAAAAGGTTTTCCCAGAATCATCTGAGATTTTGCTTTGAGATATTTATCAACAAGCAACAGCTTTTAATTCCTTGTTATTTTGTATAAAATAGAAACTGCGAAATGATTTCATAACTAAGTATACCAGTATGACTGTAACTAACAACATAACCTTGCATGTTTTGTAACAATTATAATGAAGATGTTTTATCAAAACAAACTGACAAAAGAATATGTCAATTATGGATATGAGATATTTTTGTAACACGTCATTGCAAAGACGATGACGACTGAATTAAAGGGTATCCTGCTAGTAGAATCTCCTTTTCTGTACAACGTAAAGTTTGGATTCCCTGCAAGGCGGTTATTCTTTTTCTGTTGTATAAAGGAGACTGTCGTTGAGGGAATCATTTTTCGGGGTGTGCCTCTAGCCTGCCTGGCAGGCGTCCAAAGGGAGAGGTGATTGAGAAGAGCTTCTGTTAATCAGTCTACAGAACAGGCCTTATATTTTTGCGTTTTTCAGGCGAGAGAGGGCAAGCACAAGACGGGCGTGGACGGAGTGCGAGACAGGCATGACACGAAGGGCGTGAGATAACTGCTGTCCCGCGTGTCGGGTGCCCCACGCCCGCCTCGCGCTTGAAAATGCAAAGATATAACACTTGTTCTGCAGGCTGCCATCCATTAACTTGCTACATGGCCTGTTCCAGGCTCCAAGATAGTCGGGTACGCTGAATTGAGAAAGCGCGAACACGAAAATAACCTTTTTCCCGCCCCGTCAACTTTTCGCGTGCCATTCACTTTTGCCTCTTGCCCACCATCTGAAAGCCTGGACAGGCTACTTGCTACATGAAATGTTGAGAGACCGTTAGTTGCTTATGGCAGTCTATACCTGGAACAGAACTGACACAGCTGAATGACGGTAAAAATGCTCTGTACAAACAGCGAACATAAATTGAGGTAATAACAGCACCAAATTTGTGGTTTTTATCAGGGTTATATGGAGTTGTATTACCCAACTTCAGTTGCAGCCATGGGAGATTAGACCACGTGTTCAGCGGTTGCTTACGCGAGGCTAAAAACAAGATGCCGGTAAACTTTAATTTTAACTCAGGTCGCCTCAAAAAAGTGCTCGCGGTTACTTACAAGGGCTGCCAGTGACATTTTCCCAGGGAAAAGCACTAAAGATATTTCAGATAAGAGGTCGCTTAATTACGAGAGGTGGTCGAACCGACCTCGTTCCCCGGGTCCTCACGGCTACCCGTCCCTGTCTCTCGCTCCGCAGGGACGGGTAAGAGAGGACCCTGGCAACGAGGTTGGTAGTCGCACACGGAGATTTGACCATTGTCAGAGTTTTGAAAAAATGAAACTTTAAGACAAAGTAGGGGACAGTCAATGAAAGCTTGTTTCCTTAAACTTTAGTTTTGTAGAATGGATTTCAACGAAATAGAGCTGTTTTACTTCCATCACTGTTTTAACACGTAAATGAAAACTAGGTTTGTTCGACATGTGGACACTGTATCAGAGTATTTGTTCATGTTTTAATAAATAAGAGAAACAGTTATCGATGCTATAACGAGAAATTGTCCATAGCCTCATGGTATTTCCGTCACTGAGACCGTCTTGGATACCGCCGAGCCCAACTGAACGATCATCATAGGATTACCAGGAGTTTGCGGAACAATAAGCTCGGCTCGAAACCGGTTTTGGTGTGAACACCTGCAACGGTATTGAAACTTCGTAAGGCCATCCTCTTTTTTTCGGTACCTTTTATGGTAACTTTGTAATGGTGACAGTGCTACTGAACTTACAATTGACTCTTGCGTGACGAACTTCCTATCGGAAGGTTATATTACTCTGAAAGGTCTGCGACCTAATGTGATACTGTTTCATCTCCGTCTTACTTCGAAGGTTTCTTGCAGCGTTGTGGAAGAATGGCTCTCAGTCGGTACCTCACTGGTTTGGACGAAACAGAAACGAAATTTGATGCCTCTGCCTCCGAAGTAGCAGATATCGAAAGCGCAGTAGTACAGGTTTGTTACCGAATTCTAGAAGAAGTGTACGAACTAGACAACCGATTTAAGACATCTCGTGTACTGAAGACAGGAAGTTTTTACGAAGGAACTAAAATAAGCGAACCGAATGAATTCGACTTGATGGCCGTAAATGAAGAATTGTCGCGTCCTGGCCTCTGTACAGCAGTCAGGGAATGCCCTGATGCAGCGGGATTTGCTCATGTCCTCACAGAGGACAAATCTGTTGCTGATCGCTGGAAAGGAATTACTTACTCGAGAGAGGATGGTCGTCTATATATAGTTCCTTACCACCAGTATGGCTCCGTGCAAGTGACATTCGGGCAGATGGTTACGAATGCATACGAACGCCTTTGCTCTAGGGGGACAACGATTTCCACCCCGGCAGGGACTTTAAAAATGATACAATGGGGAACAAATCCAGTTCGACCGGGTTGTCGTCTCCAACTGAAATGGAGGTCAAGTTCTACTGACGCTTACAATCCTCTGAACACAGACGTAGATTTAACATTTGCCGTTGAAGTGGAAGTGGAAAATGATCGTGAAAGTGCAAGCAATAGTTTATATCTTTTAGTTCCAGCTTGGTGTTATAAATGTCAAGAACATTTTCACAAAAATATATCGCTCTGTTGGAGAAGGTCATTTTCTGTGATTGAAAAACAAATGTTCGAAGAAATGGGTCACCAGCATATTCACAAGAGATGCAACAGGGTTCTGAAATATTTGAAAGATATGTTTTATCTTGACAGAAACCCTTTTCAAATCAGTTCTTATGTTATCAAAACACTGGTACTCCGTCATGAAGAGCGGTACAAGGAAGAGGAGCACAAATGTCTCGAAAAATGCGTCTTGAGAATATTGCATGACTTAATTCATTGTTGCCGAGAAAAGGAACTTCAAAGTTTATACAACGCTAAATGTAATATTTTTGCCAACGTAGGAAAAAGGAAACTTATAGCGACAGAAAAAGCCATTCGTTTGGTAATTGCAGCCTTAAGACAGATTTGCGAAAGGAGAATTTTTAGAATCTCAGCTTGCAATGAACTTACTAAGCGTCTTCGATATGATATGAAGAGGTTCCGAGATGAACTAAGAAAGGAAAATTCCAAAACAGTACAGCAGTGTTTTCTAAACGCGGAGTGCGAGAAATGGCTCTGTGGTTTAGCAAAAAGGAAACAAAAACGAAGGCGGCAGAGGGGAATTAACAGTGGAAAGGGAGTTTCGCAATACCCGTATAGACGAGGCCATCACCGAGGTCGTAGCAGCAACAACAGCGACCTGCTGCTGTAGCTGCAACTGAGAATTCTGTGTTAGTGATTAGGATTTAACTGAAATGTTTGGATAAACCGAGCTGATACAAGAAGAATAGCCATTAATGTAAAGATGTTACTCAGGTAAACACGATTTTGCTCTATTTTTTGCATAGTTATAAGAGGAGACTGGTTATGAAAAGCGGCAAACATCAATGATAAAAACAACAGTGCTGCAGTTTATGTTGGAAGCACCCTGAAAGTGCACAATCCTTTGTTTTCTGTTGGCAGATTGTTACGGAATAAATTAATGCAACGTTTTTATTGGTCAATACAATCAAAATGATAGGAATTCTTTTGAACGTTGTGCACTTTCAGGTCCACAAAAACATATAACAGGGGCACCCAACGAGAATATAGTACAAAATTACTTAAAAATATCAATGTTGAAAGTATTTTAGTATTTAATCGGTAGATAAAGGCATATTTTTATCTCCTAAAAATTTTTCATCTGTTCGGATTTCCTAGCTGAAAGTGTAGTGATCCGTAACTTATAGGGATCAAAACTTA